CTGGACAGTAGCACATGCATAGATAGATAGATAGATAGATAGATAGATAGATAGATAGATAGATAGACAGACGGATGGATGGATGCATGCATGGATACATACATACATACATACATACATACATACATACATACATACATACATACATACATACATACATACATACATACATACATACATACATACATACATACATACATACATACATACATACATACATACATACATACATACATACATACATACATACATACATACATACATACATACATAGATGATGATAGGTAGTTGTCTAAGGCCTCTTAGCTAATAAAAGAAATAATAAGAATTCACACTCAGGAAGTTTGACATCAAGTGCCTCTTTTCTCAGTCAGAGAAACTCTCTAATCAGGTATTCAGACAGTGGCCTGACAGCCTAACCCAATGAATATTCTTGAAGAATACATGAATTCTCAATGACACACATAGACAACTCCACTTGGTAAGAATAAGTAATCTGAAACCTTTGAACTGACTTGTGTACACAACATATTCAAAACAGAATTCCTTTCACAATTGTCGGGGTTGTTGTTGCAGAATTGTCAATCACTTTGGGCTGAACAGATTAAGATCATGAATTAAAACTTTGCAGTTTCAATGTTTGGTGACAATAATATAAGATTTGTAACAGAGAATGAATGAATAAACATTTAGGAGGACAATGACATGGATTTAAAAGTTAAAAGCCCATTTAAACTCAGGATTTCATGAAGGGGGCCCTACTGTGTGAGGTAACTCTGCCTACACTAACTGGAGTTCTTCTCAAGTAGATGGGTGCTAGTGTTTCAGAAGCAACAGGATTCCTTCCTAGCTTTGAATGCTTGTGGGATTAACAGGCACTAAACCCAGATGCTGACTTCAGCATTTGGAGCACTGAGAACATCTGATATGGCTCTTACTGCGGAGCATAAAGGCATTTCCTTGTTAATTTGATGGAATGGTGATTATGTTTGGAGGGCAAAAGACACAGACTTTTCTTTCTTTGATTAGCTGGGTCTCCTAGTTTTCTGCCATGAATTATTTTCCTGGCTGATGACCTTGAACAGCCTGTGAAGGAGGTCTAAATCCTGGCTGAATAAGTCGCATGGTCCTCTGTGTAGATAAAATGAGCTGAAAGACTAGTCTGGAAGCTCCAGTGTGGTGTTTGTGTCAGTATTCAGTTTACAATGACCAGAAAAAAAATTGCCTCAACTTCTTAATGTATTTTAAGCATTCCCAGTTTTAATGTTCACACTCTTTAATTAGTTAATGATGTTGCAAGGATTTTTATCATGTTAGTTTATAAAAACTTCCCAAATACTTTTGCTTCATATGATGGTTTTACTTTTTTGAATGAAAACTGCCTCAAGGGAAGTCAGACTTCTCCTCTCTCTTTTGCTTGTGGGTATGTGTATGCGTGCACACATGCATATGTATGTATGTATGTATGTATGTATGTATGTATGTATGTATGTATGTTAACATGGGTGAGCACCTGTGTCTGCACGCCTGTGGAGACCTGAAGTTGATGTCTGGTGGCTCTTTCGGTTGCTCTCTGTTTTGTGTTGTGGAAGGTCACTAAGCCCAGAGCTCTCCAATTCCAGAAAGCCTAGCTAGTCATCTTGCATCAGGAATCCTCGGTCTCTGCCTCCTCAGTGCTGAGATTACAGGAAGGCTGCAACAGGCTGCCTGAGCCCTCACATAGGTACCGCATCTGACCTCTGGTTACCTATTGAGTGGCTCCCCAGACCAGACTTTCACTTTCTCTCTCGATAATTTACAGCAGAAACAATTTAGATACATTCATAACAGAATAAGTTTAGGGAATTATATTTGGGAATTGAAATTTTTAAAATGTGTATTTCTGTCTTCCCAATTGTACCTTTAAGAACTATTCCAGTGGTGTATGGTATTACCCTTTTACATATATTTTCTAATCCTGTGAAAGGGGTTTCATGTGAAGGAAAGAAAAACAGCACTTTCTCTGTCTTTACCTCTCTCACCATATATAAGTGTCCATATATCATACATGCAAAAATACACGTAAAGAGGACATTTAGCCTCTTATAAGATAAAGACACATATGTCCACTCATGTTAATATGCATACACACACATACCTACAAGAAAGAGTAAAAGTCTTGCACGTATGTGTGGGAGCACTGAAGCACATGAGAAATCTCTATGACTTCTGCTCAATTTGATAGTGAGCCCAAAACTGATCTTTCAAACGGTAAAGGTCATTAAGTGGCTGAGGAATATTTCAAGCAGCAAAGCACTTAAGCAGCAAATAGGAGAACCAGCTTGACTCCTAGGTCCCACCTATAAGTGGCTGGCAGAGTGGCATCCCTGTAATGTCTGCACTGAGCTCAATCAGTGAGCTACTGGCCAATGAGATACCTCATGTCGAAGAAGGTAAATGGCGCTCTCAAAGATGATATAGTCAAGTTAGCTCTTCCACCTCCGGATACATGGGCATACATATGTATGCATATTGTTCCCCCCACAGGCACCTGAACACATACACACACATAAAAAATACAATAAAAAGTGAATGTTATTGAAATCGTTGTTATACTGGAGAAACTTACCACACAAGTTAGTGAATCCTTTGACAGTACTCGACTTGATAATGATGCAAGCCTTCTTGATTTTATAATATACAGTAAGACAAAATTTGCTAGGCTATGAGAGAGCATTGTTAGCTTCAATTGTCAAATACGCGACATAATTGATTTGCAATGACTGTGTGGTACTGAATTGGTACTGAAGTGACTCAATTCTTTTTCTGAGTTGGCCAGTTTTACTTCTCTGTTCTGTGTTTGCTACCAGAGCCAAAGGTAGATGACATTTTGGGTGTCATGTGTCACCAGGGTTATGTTGGCTCCAAGTATGAATGAATGCTGAAGCTACACTTTGGAGGGAGGAGTGATGGGGCATCGTTAGGTGAGGGATAGGAAAATAGAAGCTAGAAGTGTAGAAGGGTGCTCGCCCTGCCTTGGCTTCATTGCCTTTGGGAAGTGTAGTCTTTGCATGGCGTCATTCTGATCTAGTACTTTGTGTGATGACATACTCTGAGGTGACATCGCACTCCACACTCTGTCTGAAATCTGTGCTAGCATCCTCTGCCTTGGGCTAGCATCCTCGGGCCCACTTGTTCAGTCATGAATCCTTCTAATCGGGAGGCTTCCGTTGCCTCCTGATTGGGTAGGAGAGGAAGAGCCAGTGCTCCAGGCTTCCACAATAGCAACTCATTTGCTCTGAGCACCTTAGAAGGTTAGAGTGGACCTGCGCTAACCCATGATCTTCAAAGCTGCTTTACTTGTGTTTGTTCACTTTCTGGATCCTTCCTTTAAAATTTCTATTCAGTCGTTAGCAACTGAGTGATTTTGCCTTACATGAGAAAAGATGGCTCCATTTAATGCCCTTTGAAGCTTTGCACAACCTAAGAAAGATGCTTCATGTATAACTTAAAATAGTAGAAATCTCTGCTACAGCTTTTTCATGCTTTTGTGGTCCTCTGCCTGTCCCTCCAGCTTGTCTGGATAATTCTAAACTGGTGAACCAGGGCGTTAGGAAAGTCCTTGTTTCCTTACACTTACTCTAAAATTACCCACTTTTGAATCTGAGAAATGTAGGTAACCCTAGAATCGTGTCCCCCACTGACAGCTTTCCTCAATTTCTAGAGCAAATACATGTAAACACAGTAGATGTTGGCATCCCGGGAAACTGCACAGAACATAGTGTTTAAGAATGCCGTCCATGCCCAGTCTGTCTGCTTACAGGACCTGGACTGGGGCTTCGGCTTGTTCTCCCTGGAGCTATACTTGGCCAACAGAGAGTTTGCTGAATAAATGAATAAGTTAATATGATTCCCAGTGTCAGGGAAGATTTCATCAGACTGGGTCAAAGCACTTTAAACGAATCATTAGGAAAAAGCTACATCTTATTACAGAATTGATCAAAGGCTCTACCTGCTTTATTGTACAAGTGAAGAAATTGAGAACAAACTAGCAAACCATGCTCAGGGTTAGGATTCTGTCAACTGCAGAATTAGGACTGCATCCATGTCTCCTTCCCATTTTGTCCAACACAGTTGCCTTTTATCTAGGCATGCAAGCAGGACATGTTAAAGAAACTATAATACTTAACTGGGAGAGAGTGAATTAATTTGAAAGTAATCAATAATGCCTCAAGAATAAATCTGATCTTCAAGCCAATTTAAACAGATCTCACCACCCCACCCCATCCCACCTCCCTCTCTCAGTCTCTCTCTTTAACAAGGTTTTACCATATTTGGCTTTTGTTTGGGGATGTAGTTCATGTAGCTAGTTAATCAAACGTAAAGTCACAAGAGGAGAGAACTGGACTTGTTAGTGAATGGTGAAAGAACAATGCCCTTCATTATGAAGTAAAGACCATATGTGAAGTTTGACACTGAAGATCTGAGTGTTCAAGTCACTGTGGCCTCTGGGACTTTGGCTACTTGGTTTTCTAGTCCCTTAGTGATATTTTTGCCATGTGCAACTATGAAGCTATGTTACTATATTTGACACAAATATGTAGTTTTATTTCTTGGAGATAGTATAGCTTTGAAATAAAAAGGTTTCCCAAGTTATTCCCAAATAGTTTGAGTATTTCTGAGGGCAAATTTCTATTTTATGTAATCAGATAAATTACTTTCTCATTCCTGATTCAAGTGCTCACTTGTAGCTGTTTTAGGGTTAGATGAAGATGCAGCAGATAATGGATGCCTACAGCTCCCTCTCTCATGCACTTTCCCTCTGTCTGTCTGTCTGTCTGTCTGTCTGTCTGTCTGTCTGTCTCTGCCTCTGCTCTGTTTAATTAATTTGAAAGTAATCAATAACACCTCAATAATCTCTCCCTCCTTCTATCTCTCCCTCCCTCCTCCCCCCTTTCTCCCCTCTTGGCCTCATCATTTGTGAACCCTTAAATCACTAGGATCTTTTTCATTCTTTTCAGATAAATGTATTACCGGAAATACAGCCTCAGCTTTGCAGAAAAGAAGGCTTGTGTCAAATGATCAGAAGATTTCCAGGTAACCTTTAGTTTCCTTCTTGATGCATGAGCGTTTGACATCTGGAGGCTTCTGGATGCCTCACAAATAACACGGCCTCAAGACATCACCCTAGCTCCCTCTTCGATCAATTCCACTGTCATAGGTCTTCCCTGACACCCAGGCTTGGCCAATGATAATACCTCATACTAATACAACTGGTACTTTAGTTTTTTGGTTTTTCCTTCTGGTTTGCCAGGAGTCTGTTTCTATTTGTCATATCTGTTTCTTTTAGAAAATAATTCTGCCTTAGTTTAAAAATGATTGCTGTTGTAATTCTTAGTTATATATAACCTGAGTTCTTAAAAAGGTTTATGTCATTGTGCTAGCTATTTTTATTTTGCTTTGTCAACTTGACACAGATCAGGGTCATCTGGGAAGGAGAAAGTTTAACTGAGAAAATGTCTACATCAGATTGGCCTACATTGTAGGCAAAACTGTTGGACATTTTGTCCCTTAGAATTTGATGTGTCCCAGACTACTGATGGCTAGTGCCAACTAAGGTGGGCTAGGTCATTCTGGTTTATAGAAGAAAGCAGCCTGAACATGGAGAGCAGGCCAGTAGGCAGCACTCCTCCATGGTCTCTGCTGCAGTTCCTGCCTTGAGTTCTTACCTTGACTTCCCAGCTGTGCGGTGAAACAAGCCTTCTCCTCCCGGGGTTGCTCTTGGTCAGGGTAGTTTATCACAGCAACAGGTAGAACAGTTATTCTGTTCTCCAAATTCTGTTTTCCTCTTTGAAATCCTCTCACTGTGTTCAAGGCAGGACACTCATTGAAGTTCTAACTTCAGCATATCAGGAATTTTGGAGAAAAATTGCTACCTTCAGTTCCTGCACAATTCCCAGAGGGGAAAAGATGTCAGAAGGGAAGTAAGCCTCTAGAGATGAAATGAGTCTTCACAGATAAAATTATAGCCTACCTTAAAACTCGTTGGTGAGAGTACCTCAGATTTCTTGTTTTAAACTCATTAATGCTTGAACCCCTAGGCAGTTTTTCAGTTCATAATTAAAATTTAGATCTGCATGACTTCATTCTGTATTTATTAATGAATGCCTTGGTAGAGTCAGGAAACATGGCATACTGTTCCCCGCTGGATTTTCTGTGGAGTTTTGCCTCCAAGTCAAGTGTCAGCCTGGCAGGCATGTCTCACTATATTGAGGGCAATCTCCTCTCCATTAACCAGGGATTAAAGTGGAAACAAATCAGTATTTTTTTTTAATTTAAGTTACATTTCTAAAGTAAATAGAGAGTGGATTTTGTTCTGTAAGTGTTCTTTCACAGCACAATATGGCTGAATGCATAGTTTCTGGCTCATTTGTTTATCTATCTATTTATTTATTTATTTTTAAGTTGAAGCCTGGGTAACAGCCTGGCCTCAAATTCCCTGAGTAGCCAATACTGTCCTTGAATTTATGATCCCCTGCCTCTAACGCACAAGTGCTTCGTGTTTTAGGTGTGTGCCATCACCCCTGGCTTGAAGTCCCCATTTTACCTCATCCTATCTGCCCTTCAGGGATAGGAACTGAACCAGAGCCTTGACATACTAAGAAAGTGCCCTACCATTTAGCTACATCTCTAGCTATCTTGTTTTTGTAAAACATATTGTGGTCCTGTGGAGACTACTCAGTCAGTAAACCATTGTCTTATAAGCATGCATACCTGAGTTTTATTGCCATCATCTATGTCTTACCAGTTCAATAAGCTCCAGGTGCAACTAGAGAACCTGTCTCACAATAAGGTAAAGAGGGATTGGGGAAGACAGGTGATGTTCGGCCTCTGTTCTTCATGCACAGGTGCACACACTCCTGCACATACATATACACAAGCAAATAAATAAGTAATAAACAAAAAAGTGTTCTTCTGGACTAAGTAAAGAAGTTGTTTCCACCACTAAATATTAACAATATCAGACAGAGTTCCTTTAGTTAAGATAATCCCCACCCCCAAATTATCTGCATTTTGAGCATAGCTTCCAGGTTTTAACATGGTGTTGTTGTTGCTTTCCCACTGTAACTTGTATGTAAGACTGGTTGGTTCAGAACAAAAGCCTGTTAGTATTATAGAACACAGAAGGCCAGCATAGCAGTGAATGGCTGTTTGCAGTATGGAATACTTTTAAATGAACACACACACACCCCTCAAGGAAGTCTAATATGTTATTCTTTCTTTGCTTCCATAAAATTAGCAAGTATTTTCTGCCTTCTTTAGTTTGAAAATGACTTTACTCTGAAGAATATCACTAATTCTAGAAATATGTAACCCATTTTACTCTCTCTCTCTCTCTCTCTCTCTCTCTCTCTCTCTCTCTCTCGTGCTCATTTTCTACTCATCTCCTAACAAGATTGTTTTGTGGAATTTTTTCTCCTACCATGATATCTTTCCCGAGCTGAAGATAATCTTCTTAATTGTCTAGCTTTAAAAACATGTACCCACAGCATTATTTTCTGATATAAACTTTAGAACAATAGCTTTTGTGTTATTGTTTATGAATACACAAAATATAATATAAACTTATTTACAGACTGAAACTGATTGGTTTGATGTGAATACTGAATATTTAATAGTGAGTGCAGTCTGGGTAATAACACCCTAGTACTTAGTGTATGGGGCCATTCAAAGGGTGGGATGGGCTGAGGACAGCGGTGTATGTCTCTACTACCTTCCTCAGGAGACAGGCACGATGGTGAGTTTGAGGCCACCTGGGTTGGTTATGCTGTCTCAAAAAGAAAATCATGAAAATAAGATAATGCTCATGGAACATTAACCCACAGCTGAGTCCACTGAGCTACAGAAGGCAGCATCAAAGCTATGGGGCACACAAAATGCTAGTCAATCTCAGTGGGTCACAAAGAAAATTAATAAACTTGTCCTGGGAGAAGAGGGATGTAACAGGATGATGAGGAGGTAAGTGACCGTGGTTGTTATGTACTACATACATGTGCAAAGTTATCTAAAACCAAATTTGACTAACAGAAAAGATCATGAAAATAAGACGACACATATGAAATTTTTAGCAGTGTGCCTGCAATATAAAAGTGTTCAATTAGCAGCAAGTATTTTTTGGATGCAAAACAGACATAGAAACACAAAATTAAGCATAATGTTCTATAATATATTCTGTTTACAGCCAAAATAGCCTGCACTGTTTTAGATTCTGTATTATTTAGTGGCTAATGAAAGTTTGAAACCAGAGATTTTTTTTTTTAGCTTTGCTACTAGTTAGCAATATGAATTACTTAATTTTATGGAAAGTTTTTGGGACTTGCTTTTGTTTTCAAATCTTTTTTTTTTTAAAGATTTTATTTATGTATTATGTATACAGTCTTCTGCCTTCACCCCAGCAGAGGGCACCAGATCTCATTCAAAGTGGTTGTGAGCCACCATGTGGTTGCTGGGAATTAAACCCGTGTCCTCTGGAAGAACAGTCAGTGCTCTCAACCGCTGAGCCATGTCTCCAGCCCTGTTTTCAAATCTTAGGTAAGGATAATTGGGCCTAGTTCATAATTTAGTTTATAAAATCAAGTGGATATGTGCATATATATTATAACATTTGATTAAAAATAAAACTTGCCGTGTATATATAAATAGTGGCTGGACTATTCCCCCTATTTTTGAAAAATTGAACGTCAGCTTCCCATTGATCAATTTTTTTCTCTTTTTATGATTGATTATCACAAGAATTTTATGTTTCTGGGGAAAACTCTGATAGGTGTGAGATTTGGCCCACTTCTCAGTTTGCATGGCACCCTTTTATGGATATTGTCGGATGATACAAGATGCCTATGTCACAAAGAAATGGAGTTGGTATTTGCAGAGTTAAAAGTATGAGCAATGTCCAGCGTTTGTATCTGTTCAACCTTAGTTCACCTTCGCATGACTGGGTGACACCTATAAATGCCACAGTTTGCATTTCAGGTGAGGAACTTTGGACGTAGAGAGTTTGTATATTTTCTAACAGTGAGCTGAGCTAGTGGAGTACTCTCCTACATGCATGAAGCTTAGGTTCAGTCCCCAGCACTGCATGAACACAGGCATGTTGGTGCTTGCCTGTAATCCTAGAGGTGGAGGCAACAAGAGCAGAAAGGTGCAGGTCATCTTTGACTACTTAAGGAGCTAAGGACAGCCTGGCCTACCTTAGACACAAAACCAAACTTTCCCTCTTTCCCAGAGGTATCATTTCTGTCTTCCAAGACTATCCATTTTAGAACTGTTTTTGAAAAAAAAATAGTTTGGAAGAAAAATTGTTAATGTGTCTGTAAAATGTGCCAAAGTATGAAAGATGCATGAGCAAGTGTCTCCATCAGTTTCGGAGATCTATGACAAGGTTTCATTCTGAAGCATAATCAGTATTCAATCGGGGTAACGAGTATAATATAGTTTTGCTTCTGTCTGTTAGTGTGTAAGAATATTGAATTTGGAAGTTGTTAGTAAATCCAGTGGTTCCACAGGGACTTGCTGTCTAGCTTTGTCTTTAAAAAGACATAGATATCGAGATGCTGAGAGGAGGGATGGACATATGGGTGGATGTATTTGGAAGTCAGACAAGTGAAAGAGAGCCGAGTTCTGGCCAGAAGCAGAAGTCCGGTCAGAGATAACTTATAGAGCTCACAGGGTGTGTTCCTTCCCCAGCCGGCATCTACCTGACCTTAGACTTGTGACTCATACGGGAGGGCACCCACCCATGGAAAGTTTTCTAGCTAGCAAAAAGATTTATTTTTGTCTTGCCATTTTAATACTTTGCCTTTTGTGGGGGGAAGTTTTTATAGTATTTAGTTGGCTCAACTTGTTGTTTGTGCCTTTTATGAGGTTTGCTTTTTTGATAAAAGGAACTGCTTTCCCATATTTGAACTACAAAAACATAAGAGGACTGTTCTGCAAAGCTGTGGGTTGTTTTTATCCTTTTTAGTGCAGTGTCATCATCCAAGAAGCTCTGGTTTGGAGTGTGCCAAGGTTTTTGTTTGGTTTTAAGTATTATTCATACT